TCGCGCTTCTCTTTCGAGTTTGGTCGGGCCATTCCGAAGGTAAGGGTCATTTTTTGAAAGTTCACTCTAGAGTCGCATTCGGTCGCGGCATAGCCGACTCCAGTGGATCCAGGCAGTCCTCGTCTCTCGTATTCTTCTCACAAGCTCTCCTTTTTACATGCAAGATACGCATTCAGGACGGAGATCTTTTAAGCAATGACCGCGTTTTGGTGCATGGACGTCCCATTCGCAAGACGGACGTGGCAGTCTTCGGGGGCTTTATGGGGGTTGCGATCGCGCAAGCAGAGATGGCACGGCGGAGGGAGAGGTTAGGTCAAGGGGGGGTAGAGGGGGACGTATATTTGGTCACATACCAAATAGCCTTGTACGATCGGGACCAACGCGGCCTTATGCAGGCGTTGCAGCGGCTGGCCGAGCGTGCGGAGACGACGACGAGCGCAGGGCTGGCGTCCTTGGCCTCTAGCGTATCTCTGGAGCTCCTCCGATCCTACGAAGGCTGGGTAGCGGCGCAGGCCACGAGCGGGAGGTTCAAAGATATGGCGGCCGCAGAGCGAGCCTTCAATGAGGCTTCCATGAGGGAGCGGAAGAAATGGGCCTTCGAGAACACGCCTGAGGACAGGGCTGCGATGGTCTTGGCGGCGAGGCGGAAGGGCAACGAGAGCAAGGAGAGTTCGGCAGCTTCTTCTATGGCAGGAAAACAATTACTTGTCTTGACGTTGATGGTGGCATGCCGAAATATAGGTGGAAAGCATATTCTACCGCGTAGGTCGGGATCAGCCGAGGCTCTGGAAGGGTCGTTGGAGCGCTTCGCGGCGGCTCTTCTGGAAAAGAATGGGAAGAACGTACTTGCGGTGGACGTAAGTTGGACTCCTGATGGTGATGGGGAGATATTAAGTCGCTTGGATGTCACGCGGAAATGGCCAGAGCTGATAGATTTGTAGATTTTCCTTATGTAGAGGGCCCTAACAAGACTCGCAATCAGTCACTGAATTTAGGCAATGAAACAACATGGACGCATTAACAAAGGCAGTACCAAGACAGCCTGTGGTCTAAATTATTTTTTGTCGTGAAAAATTTTTCATAATGCTCACACATGAATTTTTCCTAGTGCCCTGATCGACTCCTCGCGCCCCGGCTTCCCGATTCGGAACCATGTCGAGACGCAGGAAATTGGCGCCATGAGCCCGAACTTCCCACATTCCCCTCCTCTGGCCTTGGCGCTCTTCTTAGCACACCTGTGCACCCGCACGATCGAGTTATTCTCATAAGGACGTAACTCATTGAATGAAAGCTATGTAATACGCGCTTTACCCGATGAGGCGTTTCTTCCCTTGTCTTGACATCAAATTAGAAAGTTGCATCATCGCGTAAGCCCATCGTCTGCTCACGATGTCGTTCATCACTACACCTCATGGCCACACAGAGACGTCGACGCTTCCAGTCGTGGGTAACATGTTTTTGAGAATACGGACGGTTCTCGCCTATATTCGCGTCTGGTACTTTTCGCAGTCGTCCTGATCCGGACGCCACTTGGAAAGGAGGGCCAATTGATTCACCCAGGGCTCCTCGTGCATCCCAGAGCGCGGTTCTTGGGAACTAATAATCAAAGCATTGGAGATCATGGATGAGGAGCTTAATGTTCTTTCGCCTTTCTTAGTGAAGGCAGAGGTTTTGCTCGTCCTTGTGGTGGTCCTCGTTGCATCAGTGGTGTGGTTATTTTGGGAAATTGTCAGCTTCATGATGGACCGTGGGAAGGAGGAAACAAATCCCGACTGGTGGGAGGTCCTCCGCAATTGTCAACACCGGCGGCTTATAATACCTCCATACTGCGTGCAAGAGGTACCGGAGCTGGGGACGTTCTCGCGGCTGACCACGGCCACCACGAATGCGATGAAGAACATGTCCGGGGTGATCCAACGGACAAGTCACCTGATCTCGGGTGGCAGCGGCAAATCTGCGGCAGCGATCAAAAAGGGCGCGCGGCAAGATTTACCTAGTACCCAACAGGAAGGCGATGAGAATATGAAAGGATATACTGTGGACGGTAACGCGCGTGGGGTCAAGCTGCGGCGGCGTGGCTCGAAACAGAGCATTGTCGGATTGAGCAATCACGGCACAAGTGCTGGAGGTAAACCAGCTTTGCAGCCGACTGCGAACCCGACGCCACTTACTCTAAGTGAAAATGGGGCCAATCCCGATGCCAGCGCGGCCAGTGACGCTCGACCCAAACCGCATCGCTTGGATTTGAACGGCGAGGAGGGCAACATGGTTCCATGTAACGGCAGCCTTTCCAGCCGTGCCGGCGACGGGAAGAGGGTGGTGGGCATGTCAGGCTTGGCGAGTACCAGCGCCGCGGCAGGGTCGGACGCATCCTCCGCAAATGTCAAATCTATGGAGATTTCCCCAGCCGACACCCCCTGTCGGGGTCGAATCCGCTTTCTGCCACACCAGCGGGAGCGCCAGCAAATTGAAAATCACGAAAAGTCACACGAAGGTAAACCGACGCGAAGCGGTCTCCCCCTTCGAGCGCTTGACTCTCAGCCACCTCTCACGCCGTACGCACTGCCTGACGCCGAGGGGGTCTTGGCGTCATCCGCCCAGTCCTCCCGACACGCCCCGGACGCGATCGCCGCAACGCCCCGTCTTTCTTCGAGCCACGCGGCCAATGGAGAGCCGATCACTACACCCGCCCAACCCGTCCGCCTGCCGAGCATGGAGCACGCGCACAGCGGGACCGGCGTCGCCTTGTCGGGAGGGAGCTCCGGCGTTGCCGGCAGAGGCTTCATCTTTTCCCCCTTACCCGAAGATTGCACCCCGCTATTGGCCTTTGTCAATAGCCGCTCAGGAGTCAGTCAAGGTGCCTATCTAATCCACCAGCTCCGCCGCCTGCTAAATCCCATCCAAGTCATCGATCTAGCCAACGAGGATCCCGCCCGCGCTCTCCGGCTCTATCTTGAGCTGCCCCGGCTGCGCGTTCTTGTGTGTGGGGGCGACGGGACTGCGAAATGGATCATGAATGTCCTGGAGGACCTGAATCCCGAGTGTTGGCCTCCGATCGCCATACTGCCTCTGGGCACTGGCAACGACATGGCGCGGGTTTTGGGATGGGGCGGGGGCTACAACAACCAGAGCATCGTCGAGTTTCTCGCACAGGTGCAGCGGGCGCACGTGGTGGTGGTGGATAGATGGGAAATGAAGCTGACACCGGCCGGAAAAGGGTCAAGTCGCGCCAAGACCGTGACGTTCAACAACTATTTCGGCATCGGGGTGGACGCGCAGGCGGCGTTAAAATTTCACCATTTGCGAGAACAGAAACCTCAATTATTCTTTTCAAGATTAGTCAACAAGCTTTGGTATGGGATGCTTGGAGCGCAAGACTTGTTCCGACGAACGTGCGTCTCGCTACCTGAACGACTGAAAATTGTAGCAGACGGTAAAGAGCTTACCCTTCCGGCGCACGTTCAAGGTGTCATTTTTCTGAACATTGAGTCGTACGGGGGCGGTGTCAAGCTTTGGAATGTAGAGGAAGATGACGAAAGTGCGGGCAACGGTCTTTTCGATGCTTCTTCCTCTTCCTGTTCCTCAGAGGAGGGAGACAGGAGTGAGGACGAAAGCAGGCGTCAGCGGCGCCGACGACGACGGCGGGAGAGGCAGAGACGACAGCAGTCGCAGGCGGAAGAGGAAGCCCACCGTCAGAGAGAGCAGCAGGAGAAGCCGTCGTCAATGGCTTTGACCTCGTCTTCGATGCAGGACGGCCTAATGGAGGTGGTGGCGATCAATGGAGTGGTGCACCTGGGGCAGCTCCAGGTCGGTTTGAGCAAAGCCGTGAAGATCTGCCAGTGCCGGGAGGCGGTCATCACTACTACTCGGGACTTGCCCATGCAAGTTGATGGAGAGCCTTGGCCACAGGCGAAAAGTACCATAAAAATCACACGAAAGAAAGATCCAGCTTATCTCTTGAGGAGGACCATGGACAGCGGGGGAGCTGTGGTCGGAGAAGTGGTGGAGTTGCTGGAGAGTGCGGTGAAGGACGGTGTGATAAGCTTGCCACAAAAGAAGAGCTTGCTGACGGAGCTGTCAAGGCGGGTCGAGATGAAGCGTAAGGTGTTTGAACAGGAGCTGAGCCAAAATGATGGTGTTCCATCCTTTTCCAAAGGTTTCGATGTTTCCCGGCTGCGCCTTGCCGCTGACTCCAACTCCAAGGATTGTGTGCTCATGTAGGGCACTTGAAAGAGGTCGTGTGTAATCGCTGGGTGTTGAGGCTCAACTCGCACACATCTTTGTGTCATCGGTTGTATCATAGTCTTCACCCATACTCGCTACCATGTAAAGGATTTGGAATCAAGTTATTCGATTTCCCGATCTCATTCCATTTTTGGCTGTGCATGATGACTTCCTTGCGAGCATTTGTAGAGTCTTTTAGCTCTCATTCAAAGGACATGTTCAAAGAAATCAGTACCATTGCTTTTCGAAAGACGTGCTTAGGAAGACTTTAATTATCGGTATAAACGCTTCGAACGCTTTTTCTTTTAAGTCGCCTTCACGTCCGACTTCCGCCACTGAAAAATAAAAGGGAACGTATAATCGAAAGAAACAAGGTCAGAAAACACCTCCCCTCCGTGTAACGGTTCGGAATTCCGGTCCGTCCCCGTTTGAATTTCTCGAGGACAGTCCACCTGGCCCCCGGGGGAACAAGTACGCCACATCCCGTGCTTTGCAGGCGGCGTTGCGGTGCACCACGTCCTTGTGCTGCCTAGATTTTCGCTGCATTACTATTGTAGCACAAGTCGAGCTTTGCTCTTGGTGCCCTCACCTGTGGCACGAGTATTAGTGCGTCGATTAGATGGCAGCCACGGCAGGGAAGGGCCGATTCCGGGTCCTATGGCCCCCCATCCCTATGCCATCAAAAGCAAATCTCACTCCGAAACGTCCCCCGCGTTCACAAGCAAGCACTTCCAATTCGATTTTTCATAACCTTTCGATAACATGTTTTGTCATGGTTGATAAATGTAGTGTTACGGAGAAGACATACCAGGTTTGGTCTTGGATCAAGGTTCCGAACATCCATGTCGTGCAGGAAGAACATGGCCTGCGTGGAGAAGTCGCTCGTCGTGGCGTGTACAATATCCATGCGCACATACAAGTCTGTTGGCTGTAGGGAAAAAAATCAATAGAGAGACAGTCATGTATTTGCGCGGCCGGGTGCTTCTGTCTATCAACATCTCAATCGATTTCTTGAACACATGCAGTATTTCCATAGGAAAAATAGAAGGGGGCCATCATCTTCATGAGTGCGGAAACAGAGGCCATACATGGGTCTTCCCTTGAGGAGATGGATTTGTGAGTTAAGGGGGAGGGGACGGGTAGGAGACAAGCTATAGCTTAAGCATATCTAAGCGAGTGGCAATGGTGGAGCATCTGCAGTCGTCATCATAATCGCGGTACTCAATTTACTTCTGCGTGTATCCCCCCCTGTATTATATCTTCATATAAACCCGTATCGTAGTCAATACAAGACAGCTCCTTTGGCGGCGGAGGAGTTCGACGATGAGAGCGGCGAAGAGGTACGAGCGGGCCATCAGCTCTCCTGTCCCTTGCCGGGGCTGAGGCAGTCGATTGCTCAGGAGCGCCACTCCGTTGAGGAAGAAGCAAAGACCCCTTTTCCACCATCGCACAGCCAATCCCGAAGTCGCGCGTCGGTCAGCACCGATAAATCACTTGAAGGGTCTGAAGAAGTAAGCGGTGTCTTGGCAGAAGCGGAAGAAAACGGGGGGGAGGAGGAGGCTGCCTTCCGTCGTCAATACGCGGAAGCTTCCGTTCGAAATGAAGACAGCGCACCTGACAAAGATGTGTGTGAGGAGGAAAGGGCAATAGGGTCGGCAAAAGGCTCAGACCGTTCAGTGGCGCAGAAAGGGTTCAAGGGTTTTTTTGGCTCACAATCCGTAGCAGAGGGAGAGGAGGATGACCTCGCCTTCCCTGCAGTCGCCGCCCCCCCTGCAAGTGAAACCTTCCGTCGTCGGCGCCT